TTCTTTCCGGAATTTAAAAATAGCCAGAAAGTTGCATGTTACAATCTCAATTAAGAGGAAAACTTTACCCTTTTACCAAAAAATGTTCTTTACTTTCTCAACAAAAAACTGTAAATTTTCAAGCATTACTCGTTTTTGTAATTTTACGCAGCAATCTTATTTTTTTTACAAAGGATTAGCCGTGATCTCACAATATCCCTATAAGGAATTAAGTAACTGTCGCAGGTTTCTTTCAATCCAGTTACTTGCAAACCGCCAGCATTTTTACTAGTTCTTAAAAATCCATTTGAGATCGCTTGATAATTAACTATATACCCTTGACACTTTCCAAATTACGATGACACCTAATTCCATTAAGTTCGTTCTTGTTCTTCAATTAGACTATTAGAATTGCGGTTAGATTGAAAACAAAAAATGTTGTAATGCTAGTTTATTCAAGAAGAAAAAATCTCTAGCATAGACTGACTGAAAAAGTGCTCACGGTTCTTTCCAAAAAGGAGCACAGAGTATGTTATACCAGTCTTACTTAGCAGTCAAATACGAGTGTTCTTAAACTTTGTTGATGGCTCGTTTTTGCTCTAACTGTATGGTTAAAGAGGATGTAACGTTCTAATATGGGCTTCTGGCAGAGAAATTTTTTATTAGACCAGAATGCTGAAAACTGATATCCAGTGTAATCTGATCAGAATTATGACGACGAAAAGAAAGCAATCAAAGCCGACTGTTTCGTGGCTTTTAGATACTTCAGTAAACTAAATGCAAATTTACTTCTCTCAAAAAAAAAAAAAACAAAAAAAAAACAAATTTGCTGACGAATTAAGCAAGTTTCCGACCAGCCTTACTAAACTCGATTTTTGTCTTTTTTTCACTTCTTGTGGTAGAGTGGTGTGACTGTCACATAGATAATATCTGTAATTTTGATATCTTTGATACCTTTTTGAGATTTCGACACGTGTGAACGTTGTACAAGAAAAGAGTTACTAATAGAAAATTTAGATACTTCTATTTTTTAAAAATCCTGTCGATTCTTTCAAAAGGAGTTCTAGTATGATAGTGCCACAACCAAACGCCAGTTTTACTTTTGCTTCATGCGACGTTTCATTATAGTACCTTAAGGAAACGGTTTAATGCGACTTACCGTTGGAAAGGCCGTAGTTTGAGAAGGATTCGTATTTTTTAGTCCTGATTTATGTAAAGAAGAAAAATTTGCATTCAGCTTTATGCAGCTGAAAATTTTCTCTATGCTTACTGCACTGCGTTTTCGAAGAAAAATTGATAATTGGCATCACCATAGTACACAGTTCTACTGAGGAGCTGTAAAGTTCAGGATCCGCGCCCATTAATCTTATAGTACAGAAACCTTGTCTCACACAATGCTATTCTAAAAATAAAAAAAAATTTTTATATAGAACTTAGAAATAATTACAAGGTAAATGCAGATAGAAAAAAATTCGACTTCTCCGAAGAAAAAGTTGGTTTTTGGCTGTTCCAGAAAAAATTTTGCAAAACAAGACAACCATAAGAAAAGCAAATGAGGGTTCAGAGCAACCGGCAAGGAAGATTTGAAAAGTTAAAGTTAGTGAAACTAGTTAATTTAACTTAAATGGAGAATGAACAAAAAATGTACAGAGAAAACAAAGCGAAGAAACTATAGATTACAAAAAATAATAATAATAATAATTTGATAGTCGTTAAATCCAGTTACACTTGATTGTTGCTTCCAACTGATGTGTGCTTGAAGAAAAACTCTAAGAATTAGACACTAACAGAAAATCTTTTAGCGGTTTACAAACCAAACAAAAAAGAAATAATTCTTATCCTTCAAGGCTCTTTATTCGCTTGTTATCCACAGTTTATAAAACTTTCAAATCATTCGAACCCTATGCGACAATCACATTTGGTTTTTATTTCTTCGTTAGGGTTATTTCGGTCAGTTAATATGAAAATCTACTTCTGAACCTTCACAAGTAAGGAGGAAACAGTCTGCAAAAAAGAAAACTTATTTCAGGCAGTTAAACGCAAATTTTTTGTTCATATTCCCCACCCTTAAATAGCTATCGTACATATATTTGTTATATATTGTTATGGCTCTCACTTAATTTTTCTTAGCACTTTATCCCTTCTGTCCTCTTTCACCCTTTTGAACACTATATTTGTAATTAATTCACGCAGACGGCACACAGCGATTCAAACCTTCTTTGCATTTTTTTATTCAATAATTGACTTCATTGCATGGAAAGTACTGAATGAAAAAAAAGAAAGTAGAATAGGAAAACATATACAACTAGGAAGCAGAAATGAAGCCGATGTTTAAAAAAAAAAAAAAA